CAAAGGGGAATAAAGTCCTATCCAAAATAGGTAAATTAAATTCAGAGATAGGAAAAATCATAGAAAAGGTTGATTGAAAATTAGATGAACTACTGAATTATAGAATAAGGTGTGAGTAATGAGATATCACCTATTTGAACTCCACTGTCTCAATGACAGTAAGATAAATGACACAGACATTGGTGATGAATTTTCAGTAGACTGCAATAGAAGATAAAAAACCAATGATGTCTTCACACTTCATAGTGAGCTAAAAATCTCTGTCATCATGGAAGTGTGATTAAAAAGGAGCCCTGATAACCATATATGCAAGTATATTTACACTTACTAAAATTTCCAGTGGATCAGTTTTAAACAATTGGGGGAAACATTTTTAAATATGAAATAAAGTTGATATGAATATGTAGTATATTTGGGAGACAGAAAAAAATGTGTCTTTGTTAAAATTCTTTTTGTAAACTTTTAAATAGTGAAATTCATACCCAATATGAAATCTCTATGGTTTTCACATATTTATTTTAAGACAGGCATAACCTTTTGCCATAGCACTTTCTACATTTAAAGTTTAGCTTTTTAAAATTGGTACTCACATTTTCTGTTGGAGGCTGTCATACTGCCTGTAGGAATTTCAGCTGCCTGTGAATCATCTGGGCCTTTCTATTTTTTAAAAAAAAGAACTGATGAAAGATAAGTAACAGTCATCATTCTGTTGAAAAATAAAACATCTAAAGAGTTACGTTGGTGTTTCAAAATGTTAAAGAGTTATGTTGACGTTTTAAGAGACATTTCAATACTCTAGATGTATATTAAAACTCCTAAGTTTCATAGACAACATAAAACGTAGACTTGAAGGTCTGTGAGCGTAGCATACTTTGTGCACTATCTATATTCAGATGAAAATAACACACTTATGTAAATCAGAATCTTCCATTGAGAGCTGGAAGCTGCTGAGACAGTCTGTGATTCAGATTCTTAAATTATGTAAGCCTTTATGAAAGTCAAAAAATGTAGGAAAAAATGATTCTTGACCTAATTTGGCACTTCTCCTGTACAGTGGATTGTGGATCTAGAACTCATCTTCTGATCTGTAAGCAGATGGTGTATTGTAGATGAAAAGGAAACCCATGCAAACCTAACACCTCATTTCATTCGTTGTAGCACAATATTATGTTTTTATTGCTTTGCCAGTCAGTAAAAGAATCTTGCCAATTAAAGTAGATTAGCAGGCTTAGAAACGACAACAACTATAATGGATTTTTTAAAAAACTTATGCTTTCATATGGCAGAGAAGTGAGATTTTGAAATTGACTTTTGTATTACGTGTTAAAATTACATGATTTTATTTCAGAGACTGACTCATAGTTCAATTTTGAAAAGACATTTCCCTTCTGTAGGCCTCAGGTTCTTATCCTGTTCTATGAAAAGAATACTTTTTATCTGCCTGTTAACCATGTCCTTTTAAAAGCGTATTCATATAACTTTGTCACCGAAAGGTGTGGAAACTTTGAGCAAATTTAATGTGAGATATAAGCATCTTTTTTATGTAAAAGAAAGAAAATAAACTTAAAGTTCACATATTAGAATAACAGCAGCTATTCAAAAGATATAATGATAGACTGATTTTGGAGAACAATGGCTAACAAGTAGGGTAGGGCTTGTAGAATACAGAATGATCGAAGGAAGTAGACAGGCCTCTTGGCTGAAACTGGGTGGATCTAGAAACAAACAAAAAAAACAAATGTGATCCCTTTACTTTATATCAAAAGCCTGATTGTAATCAAAATGCTCTATTCTACAAAAAGATGGGAGTTCAAATATTTATTCTAGGACTTTTTTCCCCCAGAAAAGCTATATATTGTTACAGTATGTAAAGGAATTTAGAGGCAAACATCCAAGACTCCTTGTTGACTGGGAAGAGTAGTGAGTTCTCCTTTAACCTACACTTTCCTGAAAAAAACAGGAAATTAAACCCATCAAACAATCCTAAAGGCTCCCCCTGACTTCTGTTTCACTTTAGATTGATCTTACTGCTCAAAACAAAAGGAATGGTCAGATATTTGTGAACTGGAGTGTTCAAATAGTTTAAAACTCACTAAGTTAGCTTCAGAGATTTGCTTATATGCATCTTGAAGCTCTGGATCCTTCATTCAAACAGAAGGAATAAAGTCAGCATTAAAGTGATTTTTTTTTTCCTTTTTGTCTTTTTAAAAGAAATCCCAGTCTGAAGTTATCTTCTTTCAAACCACATTTTAAATAACTAAGCCATAAATACAATAAGGCTTTTAAAATCATTTTTTAAAGAAACGTCTTTTGTTTATATCTGAGTTAGCACTAGCTCTGCAATCTACTAAGGTACTGCCAGACTTCTACTTTGCTATGTTAATATCTCAGGAATAGCTTCCTTATCTCTACTTAGCAATCTATTCTTGAACTGTAAACCCCCTATCAGAAGGC